ACGCTTTCTGTATGTTGAGTGATTTCTAACCACTTCAAGTCTCCATCTAGCTGCGAACTTCTGGCTTGTTTGGGCACCGGTTTTATGTCCTACGTGCATCGCCTCGTTTTAAACGCATTTGCGCTAAAGGCGTGCCTCCTGTTTGCAATAAAAAGCTTCGCTCTTTGCCCTGCCGCGGTGGTCTAGTGGCTAAGATACTCGGCTGCTGACCCGCAGGTCGCGGGTCAAATCCCGGCTGTGGCTGCTGCATTTCCGATGGAGGGGGAAATGTTGTAGGCCCGTGTGCTCATATTTGGGTGCACCTTAAAGAAACTCAGGTGTTCGAAATCTCCGGAGCCTTCCCCTAGGGCGTCTCTCATAATCATATGGTGGTTTTGGGACGCTAAACCCCACATATCAATCAAAGACGGTCATTTAAAAATTAGGAGCATCAGTTCCACGATCTAAATTTCTTTGAACATTTAATAACCTCCTTCAAGGCATCGGCAACTTTCTCGTCACAAGATCTTTAGGTATAGCTCTTCATAGTCGTTAGCCATAGCATAGAAAAATTCGAAAAAAAATGTTTTGCAAGTGTGTAACGGGTACCCTGTTTCTCTGAAGAATGGCTAAGGATGGCATAGTGAGAACATAGTTGTAATGCTCGTAGAAAACGCACGCTACGCTTTCTTGGCCTATCTCCCAGAGTGACGTGCCACAATATACCACAGTTTGAAGGAAACAAACAAACACACGAATAAACAATGAGTCCATCTATATACAACCCAAAATTGACGATTTTGGGAGTAGTAGGTACACTGCAAGTGTGCTTGTAGCACCTACCCAAATAACTCTTCCAGCTTTCGCTTTGACAGTGCTGCGCATGACGCACATGCCTGACTTCTTTATATATTTTCTTATTTAAGGACGTGGTCAGGTGTCCGTCACCGCGCATCCTACACAACCTACTTTTACACCCTGTCCGCGCAGCGATTAGGTAAAAAAACTGTCGAACAAGAAATGCTGGTCACGGTAAGGTGTGGCAACCGTGCGGAGCGAGGGGAAGGCTTTCAGTTCTGGGTTGTATGCGGCGAATTAGTATGCGGGAGCTTCCCATCATCTAGAACCTCCACTTGTAACGCTCGCACGCGTGGGCGCTTTCCCGGTTCCTCGACATCGGGTGGTGACAGATTGAAGGCCGTAACTGTCGTGCTCTCTGCGAAAGCGTTAAACTTGATTGGGAGTGAACTTTAAAATAACAAAATGGGGACAGCTTGCACTCCCATCAAATATTACACTATTGGAGCTTGCGGCTGACCTAGACCAAGGTCTTAATTGGCGTGGGCCTAGTAAGCGTGGCGTTAATTAAAAAAGACGTTTTTTTTTAATTTGCCCATTCCTGTTTAAAAAAAGTTTCTTTACACCATGTACGAAAACTAAAATTTTATAACAATCTGGTAATTGGGGCACATAGATATCGGCACATCTATGTGCCACGACTAACATCACTACGTTGTGGGGAACACATCATTACTCGGACATACAGTGTCAAATTTTATGAAAGGAAGCACGGCAGCGCGTGGCTTGCGTGCCCCGGCGGCTGCTGGCAGCGTGTTACAGCGGGAGCGAGATCGACCACAGTCTCTTTTTGCGTCATCTCGCTGTGAGCAAAACAACCATTCGTTGCTGATACAGAACGGCAAGATTGCAACCCCTCCCCTTTCAAGGCAATTACTGGCTCTCGCGTAATTGCACTGAAGGGGGGAAGGGGTCGCAAGGTTGCCGCTAGTTTCATATCAGCAACGAATGGTTGTTTTGCTCACAGCGAGATGACGCAAAAAGAGACTGTGGTCGATCTCGCTCCCGCTGTAACACGCTGCCAGCAGCCGCCGGGGCACGCAAGCCACGCGCTGCCGTGCTTCCTTTCATAAAATTTGACACTGTACATGAAAAACGTGGCATGCATGCACAAAGGAGCATAACGTGATATCATGATACTATGAATAAAATGGTACAACGATACAATGAGCACAATGAAGAACAATTCGTATGTGTTTAGAAAAAGTGGCTAGGGTGATTCAGAATGCTTCGTTCTCTACTAATATAGAGCATAAATCCGTCCCTCTTGTTTGCTTTAGAAGATACATTCACATTTGCTCTTCTTGTTTGCTTTAGAAGACGCATTCATTAAAGAACACCTACATTGCACATTCACCCGGTCACCATCAGTTGGTCCGCTGGCCACAAGCCTTAATATCCGCCTAATTATTAGATGATACAGAGCTGCGCGTTATACCTATTCTCATTTCTCGAAGAGAACTCACCAAAAGCAAACTGTTTTAAAAGCGAAGCAGCTCTTTGATTCGCGTGTGTAACCCTACACGTACGAGTGTTAGTACAAACGTGCCGCAAAGAGTTTCCTTCACTGCTGGTGCTGGAGCGATTCCACGTAGGCCACGCCCCAGCTTCGCGTTGACCTCAGGCTCCCCTCGCACGCTTGCATCACAGGTGCGCGCTGACGTCACTCTGTGCCTCACCCTCAGCACGCTCGCAATAGCGCCCGCAGCTGCCAGCTCCTTCATCCACTCACAACACACTTCTCTCTCACGTCACCCTCTCCACCGCCCGACGCTCGACCATTCGTCGAGTGGAAACACTCTTTTCGCTCGTTTATCTGCGATGAAACTCACACGATACCCAACCGGCCTCCCGTGTCTTTGCGTTTCGAACAAATGTTTACTCGAGTAAACGGTACACCGAGTTTCGCTTCAAACTGGTCTTCCTGCACCCGCGTTGACGCCCGTTTCAAGCTGGTCGATGCCATGCGCACCACAGCTGCTTCACATCCCATCAGGGTTCCCTTCGGGGAGATGGTCCATACTTATCTTTTGTATGCAAAGTAGCTCTTTGACTCACCTGTGTAATGCCGTACGTACGTGCATCCGTACGAACGTGCCGCAACGTGTTACCCTCGCCGCAGGTGTTGGAGCGGTGTTAAGTAGACCACGCTGCGGCTGCGCGTCGACGTCATGCTCCCCTTGCAATGTGCGCTGACGTCACTCTCTCCCTCGCCTGCTGCGCGCTCGCCGCAGTGCCCTCAGCAACCGCCTCGTCCGCTCGCCCGCAACACCTGCCGCTAACGCTGTTCGCTACACCACCGATTCATCGGTTCACGCGCAATAAACCTAACGCGCACCTAACGTAGCGTTTAAACATGTATGTACGTGTCCCAAGACCTACGCCAGCCATTGCTTCAAACTAATCTTCCAGCACTCGCCACAGCACCCGCGTTAGCGCCGTTCAGTCCATGCGTGACGCAGCTGCTTCGCATCCTATCATGATTCCTTTTGGGAAGATGAAGTGATTTTTTTTCTTTATAGTATATGCTAAGATAAATAAGGGGACGAAAAGGCCACGTGCCCGCCGAATTATTACGTTGCACGCGCTAGGGGCAGCTTAATTTTCTGATCACAAGAACAATAGCAGAAGGAAAAAGTTTAAACAGCTTCGCAGCTAAAAGCGAGCGCTTCAGAGTGAGTTAAATGCTGCTCCGCGATAAATAGGCCATACGTTTCGTTTCGTAATTTATGCACCAGACTTATGTAATTTTTTATTATGAGTCGAAGCAACGTGGTAAATAAACAATTTCTTTATTCAGCATAGTTTTTATGTCCTACTCTATGCTTTATGCATTCGATCTTATTTCGCTTGTGCATGCTCGCTTCGCATAAAAGTGACAGACTGAGTATATAGTGCGGAAACACAAATTGAAGGATTACAACTACGCGAGCGCTTTAAAGTTTTTGCGATTCTTACTGTTCAACGCACACGATTATGAACGCAAGAACACTTACGTTATCTAATGCATGAGGAAGCTCTCAATCGCAGTCTTTTATGAGTGAGCCATGTGTAGGTGAGGGAATTTTGTATGTAAGCAACGCCACAGTGATGAAATATTATGGCTTTATAAATGCATCCTCAGTCAAAGGTAGCTTTCAATGGTCTAAGACATAGATGTGCATGGTTTGGAGCACAAGACATTTTTTATTCAATGAGTCCCATATCGACATTTGACTTTATTAAGTGAAAGATAAAGATGATCTCATCATTTTGCTGTTCGTGATGCATGCATACAAGTCAAAGGTAAGATGACTGAACATGGGGAACCAGGCACCAGGCGCTACTCCTCCAAAACAGCGAAAGATCCAGAAAACATAATAACAAATGCGGAAATCACGAACACACTGGTGGTATAGCATCAGACGCGCCTCGCTATACGTTCGTTTTTCTTCAATCTTCTTCATTGTAAGCATTTTATTTACTTGACCGTATGAAAAATTTTCCGTGGTATTGTTGTTAGTTTGCTTGCAAAATGCACAAAGAACGGGCTAGTTCTTTTCACATATACCAGGTAAGTGCAAGCAGTCATCATATTGTTTGGTCCTTTGGATTTAAGGCACATGGGATCATCGGGTAAAGGTAGATATCGGTTTGTGGCTGATGAATTGATGTGAAACCATGGATGAAGTTGTCTCATGAACGTGGTATAAAAAATAAATACAAAAGTAAGAAAAATACGCTGGTAACAAAATATTGGGCTTCGTTGGAAGAGACTAAACAGCAATGCGAAAACGTCTTGAACTCAGCCCGCCTTCAAAATGAAAACAACAGTTATTACAGGTTATGTATTCATATTACACAGCAATAACATGACACGATTTCACGTGAGACGGACAGCACGCTTGGAAATTCTTTAGTTTGATTTGGAAAAGTTCCAGCCACATAGACTGTTTAAGGATGGGTTAATACCATACTAGGCTGTTGAAATTTATGTTTTGTATCTTTAACAACTTAGCGAACAATGTTATGTATACGCATATTCATGAACACGGTTGGGTTGGTGCATACGATGTTTCCTGGCCTTATCAATTAACGTTGCGATATACAATAAAAAGAAATTATCAGCAACCCATGACGGCGGCTCTTTTATGTCTTACGCAAATTAGTCTTTAAGTAAGTAAAAGAAGAAATAACACCGATCAAGCACCTGATTGCAAGTTCGAGTCACGGCACGAAAAAACTTATTTAGCAATGTTAACATGAAAGTGCTTAATTAAGCTGAACCCTCAAGGACTCGAGTTTAAGTAAATTCTTGTGGTTTGTTTTTGTAATCCTGCGGCTATAAAAAAATTATAACTGGCACATCCGTAACGGGTGGTTGCTTAGGAAGTGCGAGGATTCAGACTTCGAGTGGAATTACTTCTGCTAAGCCACAAATTGTTAGGACTAACCAGAAGAAGAAGTACGGTCAACGCACAACTCTGCACGGTACAGCCAAGTTGCACCACAACCACAGGGCATGATCTTGTTGTCATTCGTTTCTGCTCGCTAACAACCAGAATCCGCGTCGAAATCAGCTCGAGTTGACTTGTGTGGAAAATCTGCGGGTCACGAAGGCAGTGACGTCATCCGAACAGCAGGCCGAGCCTGTTGTAACCTGGGAAGAGCCGTCGCACGTATGGCACTATGGCGACGGTGCATGCCCCGCTGTAGCAGAAGCCCGGCTCGTATCCCCGGCCGGTCTGCATGGAACGAACACGCAACATAACGAAACGTGAGACATATTTACTTAAACCAGCAATCTAAATAAAATGAGCACTTTTTCAAAGTTAGATTATCAATCCAAGAAATATCCTCCTTGAAATTTATATTCTCTGTTTTTCTTCGACTTTCTAATTATTAAAGTTTTTCAATTAATATTTGCTATTTATTTTTGTTGTATTTCTTGTTCATTTCCTTACAAGTATAATTGTACCTGCCACTTTATGTATTTTTTATGTATAACATTGTGCCCTTTTTCAATATTATATGTATCTATAAGTCAACCATCTGTTTGAGACTGCAGTATCACTCAAAATGAACAAACGAGGAGGACGCGGGAAACGAAAGGCGAGTAAGGCAACTGCAGTTAACGCACCCCTTGGGATGAAGATCAAAGCGAAACAAAAGAGAGTGTGAGTAAGTTGTTATCAGTGTGAAACGGCCGCGGCTATGCATCACGCCTTCAATAGATTACTACAAGGCCAGCAAAAGTCAACCGTATAGCAATGACTACGTCGTAGGGCTACGTTCGAAGGATCTTCGCAGCTCATACTGTCAGCTGGCGATTCCCTTTCCACCCACCATGGTGGTCTAATGATTGAGGCGCACCGACTGCTGACCCGAAGGTCTCGGGATCGAATCCCGGCCGCACTTTCGATGGAGGGAAAAGCTCTCATGGCCCGTGTACTTGTCCCGGTGCGAAGCCCGTGTTCGAGGCTAGGTGGATGTTAAAAAGCCCCGGGTGGTCGGAATTTCCGAAGCGCTGCTCTATGGTGTCCCCCTTAAGCTACTGATTGTTTCGGTACGTTAAACCCCAACAATTAGTATACCTCGTTCGTTCAGTTTCAGACATAAGATCATCACGTTTGTCGATTTAATGACCGCAAAAACACAGTGTGTATTTTATGACTATTGCACCTTACTACAGTCACAGATGTTCGCGTTGACGCTCTAATAAAAAACTGCTTACGTGAAAGCCATTTCAAATTACAAGCAGCACTATGACGTTTGCCAAAAATGAAGAAAAAAAACTATGCGATTAAAGTTTCATGGCTGATTACAGGTTCCTCGTTCCCACTCACACTGCGAACTGATATGTTAACCAAGATGCTCAATATTTCTCTACACCAACCTTGTTCTGGTATGAAATACATACGGGAAGTGCCAGGGATAATGAAACATCGTGAGACGAAGACACACGTATACACAATTTTAGAGATGTCTAGTACAAGCACTGACGGCAATAACATGGAAATTCTGGCGATTAGGCAAACTTGCGAAGATGCGGTAGTCCTTCGTTGTTCCACGTGTGACGTCTGTCCGAGCTATTTCATTAGGTCAGTTCTCCACTTCGCCGTAAATTTACATCTTGTTTCTATCCGGAATTCGTGAAACAACGCGCAAATATTGAAACAAAACAAAGAATGGAAAATGATGTGCTAACACGCCACGCTGGCTAAACGGCTGTAAGATGTCGCGCTGCTCACCTGGAGGACAGTTACTGTACATGCTTCCTTTAGGAAGCAGAGTCGCGTGCCTGTCTTTCTCACATTGCTAGCAACCATGCTTTGCGGAGAGCTAAAAGCTCAGGCCAACGTTTTGTATTTCTTAATGTCGCCGCTGTAGCGCGCTGTATTGACACTGGTCATAGACAGTCAAGTAAACATCCGCTTTTCAACATGCCAGGCATGTCGATCGGTGACTCGGTATATAAGCAAGACGTCTGCGAAAACTGAGTGTGGCATTGCCACGTAAAGCTGTGGCTGCTGCCAGGCAGGCCCTTACACCTAATTCAGGCTAGCCCCCTTTGCGAACAAGCTGTTTCAGGATAGCGAACAGCCACTGCTAGAGCCATAATTACCATATGGTGGTTTAATACACACTATGGTTAGCTTCCTTGCAGAAGTGATCCCCAATAATATTAAAATTAGCTCCTTCTCCCTACCAAGACTATATGTATAGGGCTGACTTTGCACCCCCTTCCCCTCGGAGTCGCGCCATCCCCATGTGTATGATTGTAGTGTATAGGACTGACCCAGCGCCCCCCCCCCTTCCTCTTAGGTGACTAAGCTGCCTGCTCCTGCCTCCCTACCCCTTTGTGGGCACGTTTATCGTTTTAGGGCTTGACAGTCAGTCTACTTTCGAGCGCGCGATAGTGGATACTTGATGTATGAATGTTTTACAAAGCACTGCTTTACGATTCACGCCTCTACGTAACATACTTTAAATTTGTTAATACAGCTGAGTGTGAGTGCTGTATACATGTTTCGTAACTTACATTAGCTTGGCACGCAGTGCCGTCTGTCATCTTCACCTTGAGGACGATTCCAGTAGTGATGTCGATACACTCCAGAGTGCACATGTATGGAGTCTGCAAGCAGTAGAAGTCAATGAAGAAACAAAACAGTTCAATGCTTTGTCCATGCGTATTTTTGTGTGTGTGTGTGTGCGTGGGGGGAGGGGCTGTGGAATCTTCGGGGTCTGACTCGTGCATATGCGCTGGGTAATGCTAATAACCACGCTATAACACTGAATGTCAGTGAGTCCCTGAAACGTTGGGACGCAGCCGAAAAACTCACCAGAGCAATGACTGCGTTGCTGGTCTGGAAGTTCTGGCGGCAGTAGTCGATGTACGAGTCGTTCTTCAGCACGCACGCATTGGCCGCGCAGAACCGCTGCGATTTTTCGAAAGAAATGTTCGTCACACCATCTGTCTGAGCGTTCCCTTACATCGAGTGACAGAATTTACAAAACGGACAAGCACAGCTTGGCGAATTTACTAATGAGTCGACTAGCTCGGAGTCTCTCGGACTCAGAATTGAGCCGTGAAGCTGAGTGTGAATGAGTCCGGGTGAGCCATACTTTGGTGAGTTTGAATGCGTGTGAGTCCGGTTGTAATTTTTTTTTTAAGTTTGAGTCTGAGTGAGTGCGGCTCAGGGGAATTTGGGTGAGTCTGAGTCCGAGTGAGTCCAAAGCGCAAGATGTATATTTAGAATTAGTCTGAGTGAGTTCAGTTTTCTTTCGCCGACCTGTGCTGACAAGTGACACCGCACTACATCACTGATCGCGTAATGGTTCGTGAACGGAAAAGAACACGTAGCCAAAAGAAGATACCCGTAGTGCGTGAAATATTCGCCCATTCTTCTGCGCTTGTTACGGTTCGTGTAGGTGTTGCCGAAAAACCATGCAGTGCCCAAACGGTGGGAAAGGAGAAACCGTCCAGCTCTGGCTTTTCGATCGCGTTACCAAAGTGGGCGCGGGACGTGCGACAGAACCCAGCGTTGGGAATTCTAACCCACGAATACCGCCGTCCAAAGGAAGGTAATATTGTTACGTTTATAAATGGGTTTATTACGCTGTGGCGTACTGGGAGGCTTGAAAGGGTCGTGCAACGGAGGCCTATCTCGCTAGCCGAACGTCCTCTTCTTCAATCTGCCTGTTCCCCGCTACCCAGAGGCTCATACCCAAATCACATATGCAGTAACATTTCCCTCCGCGCAGACGAAGCCCACTGGGCGAGTTAAAGAGTCTCTCTGGGAATATAGCGCTTCAAACGGGCTATATGGGCAAGTTCAGTCTTTGCAGACCATCGGCCATTTGAATGAAGACGTGCTACGTGGTAAGCTCTAGCACCTAGTGACCCACTGTTTAAAAAATATAAGATAATCAAAGTGAATGACCTATATCAATACAGACTACTACGAGAGTACTGCCTTAGCTGCAAACGCGCAAACTTTTTGTTTACGGAAATGGCGAATCTTTGCTTAAAGGAAAAGGCGTATATAACAAGAAATACAGAAATGTGGAACGTTCCGTACTTTCGCACTAATTATGGTTTTCAGATGCTTCGATGTACTCTACCGCGAATTCTGAATACTTATATTAGCAAAGGTATAGATGTGTCTCATTTAAGTGTCGCAGAATTAGCGGCTCTTTTTGTTCTATAAACTATGTAGCAAACTATGTTATATGTTCTATAAACTATGTATTTATTCAGGTGCAGAAGATTGCTGCAAGTTTCTTTGTTGTGTAAGCTATGTATCAACTACGTTTTCAGGTTTCCTTCCTTTGTGGCATGATCTTTACGTAAAACAATGTGAAAGTGTATGATATTGTGATGTCCTTCATCTGCTGCCACTGTTTACAAAGGGGGCGGAGGATCCCTCAAGCCGTCATTACGGCTTTTGCCTCCGCCTCCTGTTACACTGTACTGTGACGAAGCAAATAAAGCAATCAATCAAATCGCTTATACGTTCTAGAACAACATAAGGTCCCGCATAGTGTGCAAGCAGTTTTTCACACAACCCACGTTTCATATTTGGCGTCCACAGCAACACGAGGTCTCCGTGATTATACGTCACGTGTCGATGTCAACGGTCAAAACGTGTCTTCGAGCGATCTTGCGAAGCGAGGGTACGCAGGTAAGCAAGACGTCGGGCTTTTTCTGCTCGGCAGACGATCTCGGATATACCTGAATCGTGGTGGTCCAAAAACGGGAAGACGGTATCTAGGATATGACGAAGTGGCCGAGCATACAGAAGAAAGAACGGACTGTAGCTGGTAGTCTCATGTTGTGTGGTGTTAAATGCGTAAGTGATGAAAGGTAGTACGCCATCCAAGTTCTTGTGATCTGCTGCGACATACATAGAAAGCATGTTCGTGAGAGTCCTGTTAGTTCGTTCCGTCAGGCCATTTGTTTGGGGATGATATGGCGTAGAGGGACGAAAGCTTGAAGCGCATAGGTGAAGCATGTCTTCCACCTCGTCTGCAGTGGATTGTCGCCCACGATCACTGATAACAATTCTAGGAGGTCCATGTCGTAGAACCACAAAACGCAGCATGAATAAACACACGTCAGCTGCAGTTGCCGATGGTATAACAGCTGTCTCGCAGTACCGTGTGAAGTGGTCGGTACATACGACTATCCAGCGATTATCACTAGAAGACCTCGGAAAGGGACCTAGAAGGTCAATCCCAACTTGCTCGAAGGGAGTTCTAGGGGGTGGGATAGGATGTAGTCGCCCTGGAGGAGCACTGGTAGGGCGCTTGCGGCGTTGGCACTCGTTGCAACTAGAGACGTACTGTTCCGTCGTCTGGCGCAATTTCGGCCAGTAAAATCTTTCTTGAAGCCGGCAAAGAGTTTTCGCTGTGCCTAGATGTCCGTACGTTGGGTCATCATGCATGGCCTGCAAGACACACGAAGACTCTTCGGAACCACTAGAAGATATCGTAAGCTGGTCGTAGCATAGTTCTTTTTGTACACAAGCCCGTCGCGCATTCAGAAGCGAGTCACCGATGGTCTTGACTCGGTAGGAAGGAGCTCCTGTATGGTGCGGTCCCTTTGCTGCTCAATCTTAAAGGCATTGGTATCAGGAAATGGCAGGTCCAATGGCGCGATGTAGGTGTCCAAGTTGCCCGCGTCGCAGTCCGTCGATGGGAGTGGCAGTCGCGAAAGACAATCTGCATCAGCGTGACGACGACCACTTTTTCAGGAAACCGTAAAGCCGTAAAGACGGAGTGCCCAACGCGCCAGTCGACCAGTTGGGTCACGCAGATTGACCAACCAGCAGAGCGAATGATGATCTGTCATGATGGTAAAGGGGCGTCCGTACAGGTAGGACATGAAGCGCTGCACTGCGAAGACTACTGCGAAGCATTCTTGCTCTGTGACGGTGTATTTACGCTCGGACTTGCTTAGCGAGCGACTTGCATACGCAATGACATGTTCTTTGGTATCCAAGCGTTGAACTAGCACGGCCCCCAACACCGACACCACTAGCGTCCGTGTGAAGTTCTGTAGGAGCCAGAGGACCGAAGTGTCGAAGAATTGGATGGGATGTCAAAAGGAACTTCAACTCAGAAAAAGCGGACGCACATTCTGGAGTCCAGTCGAATGGCGCGCCTTTCTGAAGCAGGAACGTGAGTGGGTGCGTGATATTGGCAAATCCAGGGATGAATCGACGGAAGTATGAGCAGAGGCCCAAAAATCTGCGTAGTTCTTTCACTGAGCGAGGTTGCTTGAACGCCTCCACTGCAGCCGTTTTTGCGGGATCTGGCCGTACGCCTTCTTTGTTCATTAAGTGTCCAAGAACGAGTGTTTGGCGTTCTCCGAAACGACATTTCTTTGAGTTGAGCACTAAGCGTGCTTTGCTTAGGCAGTTCAGCACGAGGTCGAGGCGTGTGTTGTGCTAGCAGAAAGTGCGCCCAAAAATCACAACATCGTCCAGATAACACATGCATACTTCCCACTTCAAACCACGCAGAGTAATGTCCATGAAGCGCTCAAAAGTTGCAGGCGCGTTGAATAGTTCGAAAGGCATCACATTGATTTCAAAAAGTCCATCTGGTGTAACAAATGCCGTTTTCTCTTTGTCTTCCTCGTGCATTCGAATTTGCCAATACCCTGACCTCAAATCAACAGACGAAAAGTATGAGGCTGATGAAAGACAGTCTATAGCATCATCAATACGTGGAAGTGGGTACACATCCTTTTTTGTGATGGCATTGAGACGGCGGTAGTCAACACAAAATCGCCATTTTCCATCTTTCTTCTTGACCAATAATACGGGAGCGGCCCACGGACTGCATGATTCCTGAATCACATTCTTCTTTAGCATTTCGCCAACCTCTTCATTTATCACTGCGCGTTCCGAAGGCGATACTGGTATGGCTTTTGTCGGAGAGGTCTATGGTATGCCGTATCTATGCGATGCTTTACACGAGAAACAGGGATTGACAGTGGAGTCTGTAGCTGTGCGAAACCGAAAAGATCAGCATGTTTGCGCAGAATACTCGCCAGGTCATTACGCTCGTTGGTGCTAAGAGACTTGTCAATCATTGCCATTATGGAGGTGTCCCTGGCGTGCAAATGATTGGAATCAGGCTTATCCAGAGAGTCACTGCTCTCTGCAAGGATGGCAAGGGAGAACACCTGATGTTGACGGATCTTAGCTAGTTGTAGACCCTCTGGCAGTAAAGAAGGTTCATTGGAGCCGTTGATCACCCACAAACCAGTATGCCCTTGCACAACGACAGCGTACAATAGGGCATTAGAGCATTCTTCTTTATGCAGCTGAGGTGAATGGGCTCTACTATGGCATCAAATGTCGTCTCGGTTGCAGGGGAACTGACGACAGAAACACACTTGGCAGACAAGGGTGGTACAATTGTGTCCATGAACACGCAAAGGGTACTTTCCATACAGGGCGGGCTTTCCGTAAATGCTACTGGAACATTTCAATCTACTGTGATCTCTCCTGTGCGGCAATCGACAGTGGCACCACAAAGATTCAGGAAATCGAGCCCTAGATTACATCATGCGTTGAATGAAAGAGAACAGCAAAATCAGCAATAAAATTCTGGCCACCCAAACTAACAGTCACTGTGCAAACACCAGCAGGCTGTAAGACATCTCCACTCACTCCACGAAATGTATCAGCACGGTTCCAGTGGAACATAACCTTTCTTCCAAGAAGGGATTTGAATGCTAGACTCATCACTGATATGGTTGCACCTGTGTACAGTAAGGCCATTGTTGAGACACCGTCAATTAGCACACGAACCTTATTTTTAAACATGCAAATTAAAGGAGGCATTTCTGTGGAAATCGATGACTGTCCAGCGACCTCACCTCCAACGGTCGCGCCGACTAGTTTCTGGAGGCGGCGAAAGGTAGCGGCACCTAGGAGACGGCGACTGATTAGAGCGAGGGGTTGGCGGAGGTGCAGACTGCGGTCAGAGGCTGGAGAACGGTTTTGCAGTGGCTTTGGTATCTCGTGAGATGCGCTTCCAGGGAATGTTGGTGCTCGTGCAAAGCTGGACAGGTGGGATCTCTGTGAGCGGTCGTACCTCAGCGGCTGCCGGTAATTGCAGTACCTGGCAATGTGCCCTTCGACGCCACAGTTGTAGCAGACGGGTAGGGGTCGTTCGCCGAACCACTGCTGAGAGCGCTCCGCTGCGTAAGGTCGCCTACCCAAACGGAGTGGAGCAGCTTGCTGAACGGGAACTGCCCGCCTCTGTGGAGCGGGGCCGATACGAAGGCGTCGGTCATACCGCTGGTCAGGCGCTAATGAGTCTCGGCGTGGCCAAGCAGTTCCAGCTTCGCTAAAGTCTGTCACACAAACCGATGGTGGCAGAGGAGCGAACGGTGCCAGGTAATAGGATGAACAGGTAAGCGGATGATGAATGGTGTCGTCGACCAGTGTGTCTTGTCGCTGTAGCTCTTGGCGCACTATTGCTCTGATAGTAGCGGCAAGGTCGGCAGGCGGGCTTACGTCGACGCTGGCGACCGTTGTTACATTTGCCCGCCTACCAAATTTCGGGGCGATACGACGGGTCTTCAGCTTCTCGAAAGTACGGCAGTGACGTTGGATGGCAAAGACGGAAGTGAGGACTTCCCTGCCTATTAAGAAATTGTAGACGTCCTCTGCTATACCTTTCAGAAGGTGTCCGACCATGTCCTCTTCTGACATATGCGGGTCTATGATCATGCATAGCATCAGAACCTCCTCTATGTAGGTGGTACACGTTTCTCCAGGAGTCTGGGCTCTTTGAACCAAAGTGCGCTCCGCGCTTTTCTTTTTCGCATCAGAGTCGCCGAAGCATTTTTTGAGTTCTTCGGCAAAACGATCACACGTTGTTAATAAACCTTCGTGGTTTTCGTACCACATCAAGGCGGTTTCCGTGAGAAACAGCGCGACAGTCCCCAGTTGTTCGGTGGGATCCCAGCCGTTGCACCGGCTCACCCTTTTGTAGTGTGTCAGCCACGCATCCACATCTTCCCCTGCTCTTCCCGCGAACAGGTGGGGTTTCATATAGCGATACCGAGGTGCAGCCGGCACTGACCTTTGTGTGGTTGAGAAGCCGTGACCTTCGCTCTCGGCCATGACGGTTGTTGTTGGTGGTATACCGGCAAGACGACGGCTCCGGCGAAGTTCAGACAGCTGTGACTCCGTGGTTCGTCGACGTGCTTTACCCCGCACCACTACCACTCTGTTACGTTTATAAATGGGTTCATTACGCTGTGGCGTACTGGGAGGCTTGAAGGGGTCGTGCACCGGAGGCCTATCTCGCTAGCCGAACGTCCTCTTCTCTAATCTGCCTGTTCCCCGCTACCCAGAGGCTCATACCCAAATCACATAAGCAGTAAAAATATGTTAACACAGTCGGTATTCTTGTTCACCCTGCCCTTCGTGTTTTTTTCGACGCCTTCGTAGGGGGACGGTACTGCACCAAATACAGATTGATTCATTTTCAGCACTGAAGAGAATATGAGACAATATTACGCAATACATAGGCTAGCGTTCATGTCCTTAGAAGAACAGAGCGAGTCGGTAATCCATCGCGGAGGGCATTTGACATGATAGGAAAAAAGAAAGAAAAAAAGACAGCTACATGAAAGGTACATGTCTCGCGTTACCTTTCTCTCTTTCTCTCTCTCTCTCTTCTTTGTACAAAGTGCTCTTCACGCTCGTGTTCATACCACAGTATTATTGCTTTTAACCACATTAGGCCTCAGCAGGCTTATACGAATCCATAATGTGCACGGCAACAGTGAAATGCCGCACATTCTGGAGAGGTAATAAAGAAGTAGCCTAAACAGCCACAAACAGGCGCTAAAACTCATCTACTAGCTCAGTTCTTCAAACGCTGTGACGTTCTTTTGTTCAGTATAGAGCGAGATGGCTAAACCGGTTTCGTGGCAACGTCAACACCCATGCGTGAATGTATGCCGAAATGTACCTGTTCCCCGTGCAAGATGCAGGGCGTGCCCCAAGGCTTGGCTGCCGTCCAGACGTTACCCGAGGCGGTCCGACACTGGACCAAGCATGGATTTGGGTTGCCGAAGCTGGCTGCGAATGTGTTGAGGCCCAACTGCAAGAACACGGGCCATATAGCTCTATTCCTTTGTGTGTTTCTAGTAACATGAGAGGTAAAATAAACTCTGGTACGAAGAGGAGATGTATGAAAGAAATGGTGCCACCACAAGTGTTGCTAGATTTCAGGTTGTAGATATAACATGGCGTCAAAATTAGGGGGCCTAATGCTTCACCTTTAAGTGTTGAGCGCGATATCCTGTTCCCATAATGTGTACTTCAAACGCCTAGTGCATGGAACCTTTTCGAACTTGCTATGCACCCACTGCGTGGCCTTGAGGGAATAGGCGCAGTAGCGTGTGTGCTTTTTCGCAGAGGGGGACCGGCTTTAAACCTCGAAGTCATTGTGATAATCACATGTTCAGACGCCCGACGCCAAAGGGCGCTTGTAGCGCGCATTATTACTGCAATATTTCATGTATCGTGGCGCATGTATACATACAATACGCGTGTGTTTGAAAAGCACGGACATTACTTTCACTGCCTTCGCAAGCAGAGGTACTTATTTTCACTGTGTTCCCAAACCGAAGAGTGGCCGTGTGGTGTAACATCCACTTGCTGCGCAAACGACCCGGGTTCGATTTCCCTCCGGTTGGGGATTTTTCTTTACTATTTATCTTGTTTGCGTCGTTCTCGATTTTTCGGTCGCGCATAACTTTTGGCTCACAACCAACGACACCGACGTGGGTATTTCAATGATAAGAGCTCTTTAACGCTATCGCGTTAAAACCTGTTGAGGGTGAAGAGAGACGGAGGCAAGTGCAGGCTGTCTCAGGGTTCACCTCTTTCTTCATTCGTACCCGGTGGCGCACAAGGTCTTAGTCGCTCACTTAACGTGTTTAACTTTCTTAGAGCGTGATTATCCATGGGTATTGACCAAGCGTATAGAAGCACCATCATGAAACACCAGCAGGCCTCTTCGCACTGTTTGATGCTACTGTTTCATCCAACATCTCTTGACGCATAGCGACTGAATCGCAGTGTCGAAGCAGTTTTTTTCTCAGTGGTACGAGCAGGGGACAACACTTATTGCTACTCTTCCAAGCACTTCCAATAGAGCCGTTGTGTCCAGTTTTCAGGAAATTCACTTAGTGCCCTGCGTACAGCAAAAATGATGCTAAGTCTATAATTCTGGTTCAAGTTGAGAGTTCTTGTGAATACACATGATGTAAAAGCGTAAGCTTACGTACTATAAGTGTCATATAGCGGTCAGAATGGTCATTGAAAAATTAATGGAATGAGTTCATTGAAAGAGCAGACGGTTTTCTTGTGAGCAGATGGAACCCTTGCGGCACCTGGCGGAGTAGATCGCAACCACGCGCCTCTTTTTACGTAGCCTCTCAGATTCACTTTGACACCGCGACGCAACGCCAAGTTAGCCCAAATAACACACCTGGACACACGAGCGTCGAGGTGCGGGTGCTACTACGGCAGCCCCCCTTAAGTCCCAGATCAATGTCGCCATCCAATTTTATTGTTTTCCTTAAAGTTTGCGCCACGTATCGGATCATTGCAGCCTGTGTGACCAACGCTTGAGCCCAAGGAGGCATCGAAAGCATCACGCGTTCTAGGAGGTAATCGGGAAGCTCTTCCCGTCAGGCGGCGCTAACGAGTGCGTCTCCATAGCCATAGTAAAGTGTACTAAAAGTAGCCGTAGGCCATCAGCGATTACGCATATGACAGCCTGATTTTTGCTGACGTTATACCTGAATAACCCCTTTTCTTAGAAAAAAAATATCACCATAACACGTGACGGCGGAAAACTGACGTTGTGGTTCGACGATGGTGTTCGCATGCGAGACCAGAAGTATGGCGACCGCTGCTCTGGCGCTCCTTGTGGGTGACGTCACGTGGAAACCTCCTATTGAGCCCGCTACTTCTCTCCCACAGTTCCATTTATTAATAGGCAATCAAATCGGTCCTCGTAACGCTGAACCACTTGCGCGCACATGATCATTGCTCGCCCCCTGGAAAGCTTTCTCGCTTCTCCGCTCGACGGCCTTGCAAGTATGTGTATGTTATGCACGCGGTTGAAAGCGAAAGCGTCTCGCAAAGTGCAACGAGCAACTGTGTTTGCCTGCGGCGCCAATTTCCCTTTGAATGCACACCGCGCGTGAAAGCAACGTGGAGCTTTTCGAAACCGTCCTCGCTGCGCCAGTCATGTATCGCTTCTGAGGTGGTGACCGAAGGACGGCTGAAGGATGAACGTGTAAGACCATCCGTGGATGTGGATAGAGAAGCGTGCGAAAAACCGCCCGCGAACTCGTTCGTGTGCAAATTGAAAACGTGTAGGTTGGATACGTTTGTGTCGTGGGAGCTCCCGGGCATGGAATCTCGAAATATTCTTTTAGAGTTACAGCGCAAAGTGTGATGAACTGGTTACGCATACATACATACATACATACATACATACATACATACATACATACATACATACATACATACATACATACATACATACATACATACATACATACATACATACATACGTACGTACGTACGTACGTACGTACATACATACATACATACATACATACATACATACATACATACATACATACATACATACATACATACATACATACATACATACATACGTACGTACGTACGTACGTACGTACGTACGTACGTACGTACGTACGTACATACATACGTACATACATACATACATACATACATACATACATACATACATACATACATACATACATACATACATACATACATACATACATACATACATACATACATACATACATACATACATACATACATACATACATACATACATACATACATACATACATACATGCATACATACATACATACATACATACATACATACATACATACATACACTCGTTGTCAAATGAAACTCGAACAGCGGCAAGCTTTCGTGATGGTTTAGTATGCGCCGTCCACTTATCACCATGGACAGGCACACATATATCGTATTCGGCGCAGGTGCCGAATACGATCCACGCGCCTGTCAGCCGAGATAACTGGACGGCGCGCCCTATACGAAGGCTTGCCGCTGTTAGGGTTACATTTGACGTGAATAGCACCTGCATACGTTCTTGTTTTCATCAGTTTGCTTATTCTTACTTGCCACGAACACTCCGAAGGTCATGAGTTTCAGTAGCTCGTCTCATGCATGGACTCCGACAACAACGCGGGTTCATCATTGGTAGTTTATAAAAGATTCGGCGGTCACATCACCCGCACGTCTCACAAGGATGATTCTGGAGTCTCAAGCGATTGTGGTCAGGACGGGAACCTTATCATTCGGATCCTTCATTCTTACTAACCTTTCCCGTGATCTGTGCTGTCCTCCCCATGGGGTAACCCTGCTGTGCGGGGTAACTTTGGGCGCATACCTCCGCATCGGACACCGCCGGTGGCAAGGTACTTGGAGCTGGGGTCTGGGCCTGTAACAGTCCTGCGTGAAACCGTATTCAAGGCATTAACATAATGTTTAGCTATTAATCACGCAATTCTGAAATCTGTTTTAAGAAAAAGCACACAGCACTTGACATGTTCACACACTGCCAACAAAGCATTTCTTGCCAAAACGCGTATGGTATGTATGTATGTATGTATGTATGTATGTATGTATGTATGTATGTATGTATGTATGTATGTATGTATGTATGTATGTATGTATGTATGTATGTATGTATGTATGTATGTATGTATGTATGTATGTATGTATGTATGTATGTATGTATGTATGTATGTAAGGCCCTCAGCAAGGAATCTTTTTCGGTGGGAGGACCACTCGCTGAAACCTCGGGAAAAAAGCCCATTCTCATTGTGTTTAGAGAAATTTATTCTCACGAACAGTGAACAGCAACTACAATGCAACGGAACATCGCGATGGAACGCAACATGCACAGACGGACCGGAAATTGTGACAAAAAATATGCTTGCATGTGAACACGGAACACAACATACACAGATACACGAAAAATTGTTACATAAGGATGTGTTTACATTGTATATTACATAATTAACGAAGGACACATAAATGAAACGTAAAGATCTACATGTTAGGTATATTTACATAGTATTTACAAGGTATTTGTGCCAGTACTAAAGAAACATTAATCTACCAAAATTAGGCAGGCCTGAAAACAAGCTTTACACGTCTCTCGCAGACGAACACAAAAGGGCAGGACCATTGTCGAAGAAATTCCTCCTCACCGAGAAAGAATACTTCCTCCAGTAAAACCGATAGTTCTTTGTACAGTCGCTCCAAGATTAGAAAGAGAGCGCGACGGCGACAACGTGCTGCAACCGCCTCACAGTGATTGCGCCAAAGACAGTAGGCACCAGCAACAATAAGAAGGCAGGCGAAACTGCCTCGAGAACAGCGCCCAGAAGAAACAAAATGATTTACTCTGAGGCTGCTAAAGCCAGCATGCACGGCCCTCCAGAAAACAAGAGCAACAACGCATTGCCTCAAAACACGCTGATTTGTTTCCCGTACGGAGCAGTTCAGGCGTGTTCATGGTTGTACAATTCTCCACCTTTCGAGGCAGCCAAGGGTGGGAAGAACACCCCACCCCAGCCGCCACATGAAGTCCCAGAGGCAGAAATGATGCTGTCAGCACGCTCCAAGACACATGACTAGAGCGGGTGCGGCGTGCCGGAGGAACTAACGGGAGCAACAAAGCGCCTGTTGTGTCAACGATAAGATTGTCCAACACATCTATACCCCAGGGCAAGTCGACTGGATATGACGATATTTGTTTAAACATCCTCCTCTATCGAAACTTTGGCAGATGCGAAGGGGCCTGCTTGTTGCTCTTTTAAGAGAATCCATACTGGCCGCGTATATGGATATCTTTAAAGGCACACGTCAGCTCTTTTTTGGGCGCCACGACTCTCCGACGAGAGTGTAATGCTCCTCGAAGACACAGTCCACGTGTCTCCTTAGAGAGAGTCCTATAGCAGAGAAGTCTGGACTCGTAGAAAAAGAATTCTTTTTTTTTTTGTTACTTATAGCGTACCCAAGCGCGACACTAAAGGTTACATGCGGGTATTCGAAAAGACACGGCTGCCGAATTCCCGGGAGTTAAGCAAATAGTCAAATAGGTAACTGTAATGTTCTTGTAAATAATTGAATATGCATAGTTTTTCCTTGCACGAATTATGTACGCCGCCTCAAAGAATGGAGCTCGAAGAATGGGTACCTTTGGCCTATCGGAAGCGCCTTAAAAAATAACCTCTACTCTTTAAAAAAAAATTACTCCAGTTGCACATAATGTGGAATCTGCAAAGGCAGCGGACCTACAATTCTCCTGTAGTTTTCTTGTGATATTTTGTGACTTTTTGGGTGTTCTGTGATTTGGCGAGGTTGTCGGTGACCAGGTTACTTGTAGAGCAGAGGTGCACGGTAAAAGATGTGTGGCAGCCCCTGACACACCCGGCCCTGTTAGAGTGACTTCAGTCCCTATTCACAGCCTCCCTTCACTCGTTTCATTATGTGGCGATCGCTTCACCCGCGACCGAGGTAGTTTCAGAATCGGAATTTTAATAATAAAGATTGGGTACGATAACAGGCATTTGGTATACAGGTGGAGGTCCCATAGTCAAGAGACTGTATCGAAACCTCCTGTACAGAAGCAATGTGTTAGTCTCGTGGCGTTAGCAAACACTTAATAGCAACAATAGCTATATGTACCAGTGAAAATTTAAATAAAAATGTAGTAGAAAAATGTACAAATGAATGCATAAAACAGTATAAGTTTAACATATCGATTCAAAGTGATAAGTTCAAAGAAAGAAGAGAAAGAGGCAATACAACCGTTTAGTATTCTTTAACCAAAAGAAAAAACCGAAAAAGCGCACATTAAAAGAAAAACAGTAACTTTAGTGGCTAGTGACCGAGAAGAAAGTACATTTTAGCTGTTTTTTTTTTTTTAGATTGATGAAATGAGTTCAAAGCTTTTGTGTTAAGTGGAAGAGTGCTCTATAGTGAGATGGAAAAGAATATGTTACTGTTTGTTTACCATAATTAATACGAATAGTGGGTAAAATAAAGTTGTCGCTTAATGTGAATCGAATATTACTATAAATCATAGGATTAGAAAATGGAAGAATGGTCGGTGGAAGTACGTAGAAAAAAATACCCAGCTTGTATTCAGTGAGTTCAGTAAGGTTGAGCATGTTATTCTCCTGTAGTAGGAAGTTAACATTGGATAGACGTGAGCTGAATGTAATTATTTCAATAGCATGATTATGGACAACCTGGAGAGACGAAATATGAGTATTGCAAGTATTGCCTCATTATATTATAGGTTGTAAAAAAGTGAAATGATAATAAACGAAAGAGTGATAAAGAGACAGTAATGTGGTGCATGAAAAGTAAGAGCGTGTTTAAGACTCGTATACCATATGCTATTGTCACGGGGTCGTGACGTGGCCGAAGACAGGAGACTTCGTGTTAGGATTTAACTGTTTATTAGGGCGAACCTGTGCCCGGTAAACTGAAAGTCCAATTACAGCAGCAGTCTCGCACAGATAGCAGTCTCGGACTGATAGCGGCGAACGGAGCGTCGGCCTTCGATCAACAACTGACAAGCGGCGAAGCGCGTCGGCATTTATACTCTTGCCGTCGAATGTTCTAGCGTTATCGCTGGCGGTGGCGTAGCTTCCAGAACAATCTGTACCGTTCGCACAGTGGGCGTGATCTTAACGAAATGATCTACTACAGTCCGGAACCTTCTAGAAAACTGCAGGCGCGGTTTGCGCTGAGAATCGTGCGGTGTTTTCGGACGATAATAAAAACTTGGAAAATGTAACGTGGCATTGCCCCCCTCTGAAAAAAGGCATCGTCCCGGTGCTTTAACTAAAGATGAAAGTACAATAATAATGCAAGAAAGTACAATGAATAAATTACGATACAACAATAATACAAAAAAAACACTAGTTAAGTTTGTTAACGCGCATGAAACGGCTTGAGGCGCGCGACATGGACGACTTCAGGTCGCGATCGGCGTCGTTGAGAGTTCGTGATGCCGTCGGGGACAACCTCGTAATCAAGTGGGCCGAGCCGTCGAACCACCCTGTACGGTCCGAAGTACCGTCGCAGAAGCTTTTCACTTAGTCCACGTCGGCGTATCGGCGTCCACACCCAAACACGTTCACCGGGCTGGTATTCCACGAGGCGTCGTCGAAGGTTGTAACGGTGGCTGTCGGTGGTCTGTTGATTCTTGATACGGAGACGCGCAAGTTGTCGGGCTTCTTCGGCGCGTTGAAGGTACTCGCTCAAATCGAGGTTTTCTTCGTCGGTGACGTTGGGTAACATGGCATCGAGCGTCGTTGCCGGGCTCCTTCCGTAGACCAATTTGTATGGCGATATCTGCGTCGTCTCCTGCACTGCCGTGTTGTATGCGAAGGTCACATACGGAAGAATGGCGTCCCACGTCTTGTGTTCGACATCGACGTACATTGACAGCATGTCGGCGATCGTCTTGTTAAGCCGCTCGGTGAGGCCGTTGGTCTGTGGGTGGTACGCTGTCGTCCGGCGGTGGTTTGTTTGGCTGTATGCCAAGATTGCTTGAGTTAAGTCGGCAGTGAATGCCGTTCCTCTGTCGGTGATAAGGACCTCTGGGGCGCCGTGACGTAGGACGATATTTTCGACGAAGAATTTAGCTACTTCGGATGCACTGCCTTTTGGCAGGGCTTTTGTCTCGGCGTAGCGGGTGAGGTAGTCGGTAGCTACCACGATCCACTTGTTTCCGAAAGCCGACGTCGGGAACGGCCCCAGTAGGTCCATACCAATCTGCTGGAAAGGTCGGCAAGGTGGATCAATTGGCTGCAGAAGTCCCGCTGGCCTTGTCGGCGGTGTCTTGCGTCGCTGACAGTCCCGGCATGTTCTCACATAACGAGTGACGTCGGTGGTAAGACGTGGCCAGTAGTACCTTTCTTGTATCCTCGCGAGCGTGCGAGAAACACCGAAGTGCCCTGCCGTCGGATCGTCGTGAAGGGCCTGCAGGAGTTCTGGTCGCAGAGCTGAAGGCACCACAAGAAGGTACTTAGCTCGAAGCGGTGAAAAGTTTTTCTTTTGTAGAAGACCGTTTCGTAGAAAGAACGACGCAAGTGCGCGCTTGAATATCTTCGGGACTTCGGCGGTCCTGCCTTCGAGGTATTCTATTAGGGCCTTAAGTTCCGGGTCGGCCCTCTGTCGTTCAGCGAAGTCGTCGGTACTTATCGTTCCTAAGAAGTAGTCGTCATCCGGGTCGTCGGGTAGCGGTTGGTCGACAGGCGCACGAGAGAGACAGTCGGCGTCGGAGTGTTTTTTGCCGGACTTGTAAATGACAGTAATGTCATATTCTTGAAGTCTCAGGCTCCATCGTGCGAGGCGACCTGAGGGTCCTTCAAGGTGGCTAGCCAACACAATGCGTGGTGGTCGCTCACAACTTTGAAGG